AGCTAATAATCAAACGCAAAAGTGAATGAAACCACGTTCGCATTCCCAGAACTAAAGGGCCCCCACCCGCCCTCCCCCCATCCCACGTCTCCGCCGACCCTGTGTAAATCGTCTAACAAAACTAGTGAGTCGAAAGTAGATTAGGCTTTTCTTCTCTTTATTGGTAAATGTCATGATTTGTCATTTTTCTTTGCTATTTTTCATTAAAACAAAAGATGAAAAATTGTCCGTTTTTGTTTGTTTGTTTGTTTGTTTTCTATTTATTGAAAAAATGGAAAAATTGTTCGCAACACTTGTCATTTTTTTCATTTTTCTTGTTAAAATGGAATTATGGAAAATTAGGCGATAGGTATGCCATTTTTCTATTTTTTCGTTTTTTGAACATAATGGAAAAAATGAAAAAATGGTGCGAATAAATATTATTTTTTCATCTTTGTGTTTTTCTATTTTTTGGGAAAAACGGAAAAATAGAAAAAAGATCTAGGACTCGGAGATTATTTTATTTTCCTCACTTTTCTAACAATATCAAGGAAATAAAAATAGAAAAATATCGCTATTAGCCGTTAACAATATTTTTTGTATTTTTGAATTTAACTTCAAAATTAGAAAAATGAAAAAATGATCGATTTTCCTGACCTTTTTCTTTTTTTCTCTTTTTTTCTGTATTTTGAAATATGCAAACATGGTAAGGATAAGTAATATGTCCTTTTTCCATTTTTGTTGGGAAAATGAAAAAATAGATTGGCCGAAGTGTGCACGGACCCAGAGCACGTACTGCTTTGAGCTTAATCCGTTAAATATTGAAATAATTCTTAGCTAGTGTTTATCAAAAGCGCGTTCTAAAGCAGTTCAATTTAGTCATAAACGCCTGTATTCTGTATTTAATAGCTCGTACTACATATACTAACCGTTACGTACTCTTTGTGAACAGCATATGGAAACATTTATTTAAAACGCGCACTTTTAGGAAACCTTTGAGGTCCATTAAAATAATTGTTTAAAACCTCGGTTCAAATAAAACTCGTGCTTATGTAAAACTTGGCTATTTTACAAGAAAGTGCACTGTCGTTCGGAAAGTGTTTGACAGTCACATGAGAAAGCAAATTATTTTACAACTAAAAAGCGTTCATAATTGCTTTTAAAAGTGATCTTTGCTTTGTAAGTAGAAATGCTGCGCTGATAACAAGTTTCTAGAATATTCAGGTGCACATGCATGCAATCGGATACTTCGAGTCACGGTGTATTTCCAGGGGCACCCAACGAGAATATAGTTCAAACACACTTGAACCGTATCATTGTTAAACGTATTTTAGTATTTAAGCGGCAGATATAGGCATATTTTTATCCCCTAAGAATTTTTCATCTGTTCGGATTTCCTAGCTGAAAGTCAAGTGTTCCGAAAATTATAGGGATCAAACCTTACCTTTTCGAAAATTTCAGCCAGAAAAAAAGGCTCCCGAAAACTCTAGGTGCCCTTTTAAGGCTAAAATCCGTTAAAAATGGGCAATTACACCATTCAGATGTTCGAAAATCTTAGGAGAAGCAGCATGTTCCGAAAATTCTCGATCTCAAATCGCCTTCCGAACAGATATTTTCCGAAAACTGACGTTGGGTGCCCCTGTATTTTGGCAAGTCCGTACACAATGAACCGTCCAAAAAGATTTTATATGTTTTTCTTTGATTATTGAACTGTCTTTTCTACACTAATTCAATTCATCCATGAGCTCGCTCCTAGGAACCTTTGATTTTGTCCCAATGGGTTTTTTATTCCGGGTTTTCTTACAGGGTAGTGCATCATTCCTTTGATTCTACTTTCTGTCGCGTTCCATATGATTTAAGAGTGGATGTCTGTAAATATCGACCAGAGGTGGGAAAAATAAAATTTTTGGAAAATCCCAAAAAAATGATGTAGGCTACTCTAGGTATTCTAGTTATGAAAATATAAATTTTAGTTTCATCGGATAAATATTTTGGCGATACGGCGAATGCCAATTTTGGGCGATTGACGGCCTCCGCCAGCTATTTGCGGGCCTTTAGACCGGGCTACGAAAAGACACGATTTGAATCGAATTAAAAAACCATTCAACCCAAAAAGTTTCTTATCGTATTAAACGGGTTTTAATACACATACTGAGTGGTTACGTTCTCGAATTGATTGTAACTGGAATATTTGATGAATTTTTAAGTATTTACAAAATTTTAAGGATTTTACGCAAGCAAAATATTGTCAAATTTCAAAGGCCTAAAATCGCACCCGATACATGATTTCAAACAGAAAAAGATATTGCACGTTAAAAAGCAATCTCTAAGCTTTCAAAATATGCTTTCAAAACTCTGGGCAACATATGAAATGAATTTTTGGGAACGCAAAGTTCACGGAGCATTTAAGTGTAATTTGACCTTTCTGACTTGACAGATAGATAAGAGGTTCGGCGCCACACAAATCAATCCCCCAAAAAATGCTTCAGCCAAAATCAAGTCTCACAGTGATACATAGATGCTTCATATGCATTAGCTTAGGTGGAACGTTTCATACCATTTTGTCAGCTGTGAATGAAGAACTCTTATTCTGGCCTCAGACCTGCCAACCCCTGATAAAGGAAAATCTGAAGACCCATGAAAAAAAATCTGGAGATTCTATAAAAAATAGTGAGATTCTATTTTTTTCCCGATCAAGATTAAACAAACCCCTTTTCCATCGAGGAAAGTCATTAACAGTTTATTTAAATGTTTTATTGAACTTACAAAGACTACTGGGAAACTCAACATGGGAGACGCCTGGGAATTAGACTTCGTTCCCAGGGCCTACTCATCTTTCAAAATGGCGGACAGACACGAAGAAAAACGATTAAGTTTATAGATGGTTTTCACAGTGACGTCATCAAATTGTAATGTCAAAATAGCGAGGTTTTACGAATTCTTATTTACACTAGGTTGAAGATAAACAAAAAGTTAATCTTTGTACAAGTTTTCAGTCCCATAGCATGTTTCATTTCTAAAATACAGCAATTTAAACTTCCGAGTTTTCACAGTGCGTGACACCAAAATAGGAATGCTGTCTCGTTGAAAAAAAGTCTCTCCTCTTGATTTTCAGCAGTATAACCATTTCAGGTATTAGAAGATATGTTTATGCGCACGTAGACTAGTTCTCGAGTGAAAAGAAAGAGCTTTTATGGAACAAGTGAACTCCAGATGTTTTTGTTGATTTTCGGCGGCCATATTGGTGCACCAAAACTGTGCACCAATATGGCGTCTCCATACAAAGCTCTACAAAGATGCGTGAAACGTTTCGGCAAATAACTCAGAAACTGTGGGCCAAAAAGACCTGAGACTCGGACAAATTGTTTAAATATTAGTCTTTTATAACATATCATTTTCTCGGCTTCTTTCACTGGACGGTTTTCAATTTATTTTTTTGTTGCGTGACAGTGAAAACGATCTATTGAACACAAGCGAAAATCACAGCTGGGTACAAAAAAGTAAGAACAGTGTTCTTCTTTATTAGTTTCTCACTTTATGGCACAAGCATTCCTCGAAATTAATTTCCCATTTTTATTCTGATTCAACAACTTAAATCATTTCAGAATGATTTTTCCCAAAACCCGTGAGATTGAGGAGCCTTGTCGTGAGACCGTGAGAAATGACAAAAAATCGTAAGACTCACGGCAGAACCGTGAGAGTTGGCAGGTCTGTGGCCTTCAGGTGCATTATTTGAACTCGCCTCGCCAATATCAACATTTGGGTCTAGTTCTTATCACGAAACAGCGAAGTTTTCAAAATCTACACCAACTATCTATCCTCTCTATTATATAATCAGGTCTACAATTTATTTTTTGTACCTTGTGTCCTTGTTTGACTTCATTTCTGAAATGAAACTGAGACAAACCACCGCGAAATTCCCGCTGGCTCGACATGCACGTATCACGTGAAAGAGTCGTTTAGGACTCGATTGCGTCACGTAAACATGGCATACAGCGATTATTTCTGATTTGCGTGAAAAAAAACAGAAGACAGTCTCAATTTTTTTTTACGATGCAGTTTTACCGATCGCAGGCTTGTGATTCCCGAGCTTGTCTATCAAACCGCGAAATGCAAATAACGTCTTTTCTCTTGTAGTTTGTTTTGGAGACATCCGCTCTTAAATGTTCGTTGAACAGTATTGCTAAGATATCTTGTCAATAAATCACGCGCTGGACCATTGAGTCCATTAGGCATCCAGCATGAGTCACTCCATACATGTCGTTGTGTTTTCATTCGCGCTTTTCGCGCTGTGTCCGTAGGGTAGTAATGAATCAAAACCGCGGAAACAACAACCTAATTCGCGTTGAAGCAAATATTAAGGAGCTTCAGCAACGTCGACAACGACGACAGTAAAAGCGTCGCTAAAAATGAATGAGCGTCCTTTGAAAATTTGTCTCGCCAATTTGGACCCGCTAAATTCCTAAAATGCTGGCGATTATTCCTGAAGATGAATTCTTTTAAAACGACTTTATCCAGGCTCAAAAAGTGAAAAGAAAATTTGTCGAAATATGTTCAAGACCTCCATGAAAAGTCGCATTTGGAGGTTTCACGTTGCAGTCGTGTAGTCGCGCAATTAATAAATAATAATGATGATGATTATAATCATCAAAGCCCCAGCATGGTGGCTCTTTTAAACGTCTGTGTACAATTTTGCCCAATTGGTTCTTCCCTTACTGGATCTTTAAATATTTCCAAAGGTAACCGAATGACACTTTTTCAGCACGCAAACACTATATTTATTGCTTAGTACAGTAGGTGTATGTGAATATAACTTGTTTATCGCATTATCGTACAGACTTCAACACACAAAAGCCCAAATTAAGAAATATAAAATGTCTTTCATGAAACACGATGTGTTAACAGTCCGTTCGCCTAAAAAACGAAAAAGAACGTTCACAATCATGCGCCCTTTTTAAAAAGTGCTTATGTTATACACAACAGCAAGTTTGTGCTAAGTCACGCGAGACAACCTTGTCTATTTAATGAGCGTCGGCAATGTCAGCGAAAACTAGAAAGATTGGCCACATTTCAACTCCCTGGTTATCCGGTGTATGCCCAGAGTAGAACTGTGCAGTAGCATATGGCTTAGCAACTAAACGCCTATTTCCACCTGTAGACAAACAATACGTACCGCGTGTATCACTCCAAGCAAATACTTTGATGATACGGTCGCCTTGGTGGGGTGTTTCAGCCAAGAAAACTGGAAAGACAGGCCTTCCACCGCCTCCTGTCTGAGGCGCGGCAAATCCACCTTGTGGACCATTTCCAGCCCAAGCTCCTTCAGCAGCGCGAAATATTTCGGCTACTTGGGCTTGTTGAGCCGGTGGTAACTGCGTGTAAACATTTTCTTGAATTCCCAGTGTACAGGAACATAAACCACCAATTGGAGCACCTCCCTGCTGAATTCGTTGAAGATACACCAGGAAGCGATGTTTGAACCAAGGTGCCATTAACTCTTGGTTGTTAGCAGGCGGAGGATTGCGTCTGGAAAACATTGTGCCACGATTATTTGCCATTACGACGCCGCTTCACTTCTTCCTGTATTCTAGCTCAACAGCAATTTCGAGTTCAACTCAGTTCCTGTTTGCTCTCAAGTGTTCGTGTGACGTACTACTGAGCAATGGGGAATTTTTCAATAATAATTATAAGTAATAAATAATAATGATGATGATTGTAAGAATCAGTTAGTGATACTCATAGCGCCAGCATGGCGACTCTTTTAAACGTCTGTATACAATTTACTCGTTCCTAGTCGTCCTCAGCGATATCGGGAGTGACATCACCTGTCAAGCTTGTCGAGAAAATCGAGAACGCCTGGCAAATAACAGGAAATCCAAAATGACGGCGCCGAGCCAAGAATGTGACATCAGCCAAAATCCTTGAAGGAATAACATAGCGTCGGAATGAGTTAAAGTATGTTGAACTTCGTGAAGGATGTGCTCTGTACTCAGCATATTATCTACCGGACGAAGAAATCGTCAATCGTATCGCAGCACAATGCAAGAGAGACTTCAGTTCTAGACTAGGTGTCATCGGAAATGATAGTGGACTCATAGTAATCTCGTACCCAGATCTCACTCTGTTTTACAGTGAAACATAATCCTTACGTTTCACATTTCTAAGGGGAAAAATAACTCTCCTTTCCACAGAAAAGCACTAACCATCACTTAGAATCCCCTTAAGGTCTGTTTTGTTTTTTTTTTGACGACGACGAAGAGTCAGCTGAATAATATATCATGATCTACTGATGATTGCGTGGCTTAAAATAATTCAATTGCTGTGACTTGTCACGCATTCCTAAAGAGGGGCGGTCGATTAGAAAACAATAGCGTTTTTACTTGTATCGATCAATTTTATTGTATTATCATCTTTTTTTAAATGATAGTTATTGATAATAATAAAAATAAGAGTTAACCTGAAAGGTAAGTCCTCTTGTCAGCACAATAAAATTCGTGGGCACTCTTTTTTGCTTATCAGATCTTTGTACACGGCACTCTGATAAAAAAAAAAATAATAATAAAAAAAAAAAAAATTAAATGGCCCACACTTTTTCTTTCTTAAAAAGTTTTTTTTAAAGAGAAAATCCATGTATAGCTTTGCAAAAGGCAAATTAGCGGTAAATTTCAGTTTCATTCAAAGATCTTTAAAGAGTTTATCGGAAGCAGAATGAAACGGGAAAAATAGTTTCTTTTTTCAGTGCATACACGCAAAAGGGATTATCTCAGTTTTTAGTTTTTGTTAGGGTATAACATCCGTATTCCCAAGATAATCTTGTTTTGGTTTCAATCTAATTGAATTATAATGCAACAGGTGCCAGTTCCAAATATGATTATGTCATTGAAATCGCCGAAGAGATCAATTGTAAAAAATGGCTTATTCGGCTATTTCATCAAGCTGTAGGGCTGTCCATAAGTTGCTCGGCAACTTTTGAGCAACTTTTCAGATTTGGAGCAACTTTTAGTCCTTCGAGCAACTTTTCGGATTTCGTGCAACTTTTTTATTTTTTGAATAACTTTCTTGCTTTTTTAAGGCAATTTGTAACTAAAAACCGCCCATTCAAGTTCTAATTTAAAACATCAGTTGCTTTTATGCATGATTTTGCGTAAAATGACCTTTTGTAAACAAAAAACACTATTCCCCTGGTGGTCTGCCTGTGGTAGCAGCCGAAGGTGGTCAGCGGATATGCTGAAAAATTCAAAATGGCGGAGCCGAGTGATTATTCATGCTCGAGCTCGAGTGAAGATGATGAATATTCAGATCCTTTAGAAGTAGCAGCTAGTGCACTCTTGTATGTCAGAGAAACTTTATATATTTAACAGGCATATTAGCAAAGTTAACAAGTTTTGTTCGAATACAATCACGTGGTTATCGTAATAGAAAGCCAATACTGAGAATCAGATTTTTATGATTTGGGTTGAGAGAGACTCAGTCTTACAATATTGATGAGTCAGTATGATATAATTATGTATATAATATCTATGCAAAGTTAAATCTCTTCATTAAATCTTTATTAAGTTGTTAATCAATCTCTTACACTTAAAAATTGAAAGCAACTTTTGAGCAGCTTTTGGATTTTGAGGCAACTTTTGAGCAACTTTTAGAGTTTTGGAGCAACTTTTGAGCAACTTTTTGAGAAAATTGAAGCAACTTTTTGAGAAAATTGGAGCAACTTGTGGACAGCCCTATCAAGCTGTTCTTTCCGCGAGATCGGCAAGACAGAGTGTGGTCACAGTAGGGGTGTGGAGGGAAATGTGTTGGTCGCAGAGTGCATGAATGATATTACGTCCCACTTAGCCAGCTGTCACTTGTCTAAGTGTAGCAAAGTCAATGACTGAATGAACTCATTTTAGCGAGAGTAGAGGTTTGGTAGGTATTCGGAACTGAAATGACAATCTGCCCAAGGCACAGACACCTTCTTGGCAGGTTTTTGCGAACGCCAAGGTCTTGTTAGGTTCGATTGTAAGCCGCTGTGCTGGAAAATGAGCCCCCAAGGGACCGGGAGACGGCGGAAATCGAAATCGGAAATCTTGCCCTAATAAATTCTTACCTTTAAAATACTATACATAAAGGTTAATCAGTGTGTTGTAAAAGATAGTTTTCTGATGAAAAAAAAGAAAGAACTTTCTACACGGAGTCAGGATTCAACCTCGTCCCCAGGGCTTCCCCCCCCTCCCCTTGCCATTTTCTAAGAGGAATGTCCTGGGGACTTGTATGAAAAGTATTTCATTCTTGCAATAAAAATAATTTTTTTTAACTTAAACAGTGTTTAAAACATGTCTCTGGTTTTGTAAAAATTAGTGACACTTAAAAGTACCAGAATGTTCAGTTCAACTTTATATAGCCAATTTGCTCCTCCTGTCGCAAGAAACGTGAAAAAACTTGACGCCAAAGGGTCGAGAAGAGTACGATTGAGCAGTCAGCAACCCTGTCAACACCTTTGCCGGAGAGGTTTGTTGGACAAGATTTCTCTGTTTTTCTTGTTTTGATAACGTTTACATTAAGTCTTCAAAAATGCCTCCAGATTACAGTTTTTTTTTTGTATTTATACCCTCTTGAACAATGTGCTCCATCAAAGTGCTCCTCTCATCTCTCTATTTTTAACCTATTTTACCATCCACCCTCTCTCCCCCCGATTCCACCTCTACTTTTACAAGCATTTATACTTAAAGGGGTGAAATCTCCTGTGTATATTAAATTCTGAAAAATTAAGTCCTTCTACTTTTTCCTTAAATTCTTAAACTTAGTTTTTTTTTCCTTTAAGAATAGCCAAAGATGCTGCTAAGGCTGCAATACGCGCACTCGCCCTTTCATATACTTCCTTTAGTGAAATGCCTACCCTTTCATATACCTGAAGCCTGAAAAAGATACCCCTTTCGGGCGGAGCCTCCCCGTATAGGCCATCATAGGGAGTTCCCCGACCCCCGTTCCAATTTTGTGCTCACCTATTGCCAGTCCATGTTGGACTCTAGGCCCGTTTGAGTCAACACCTAAACATAGTCCTAAGTGTAATTACAATAAAGTAATGGACGAAATGACCAATGTAATATGAACTTGAATATAAATTGAACTTGACCATAGAGATCTGCTGCAAGAAGACGAGGTGTTCGAAAGGCAAAATCTTGTTGCAGAAATCGCTGGAGAGTAATTGAGACCACAACACCCTCAATCAGAAGCTTTAAACCTATGTGTATGCCGGAAGATCAACCTAGTCAGTTCAACGTGGTAACAGAGCCGTAGGGCAGCTGCCCCCCCCCCCCCCCCCAGCGGCAAGAAAAGGAGGTGTTTCAAAGAGAAAATCCTGTTGGAGAAAATGCGTGGGAGTAATTTAAGCCAAAAACACCCCAAGCAGAAGCCTTAAACCCTTTGGGTTGCCGGGAAATCAAACCCGCCAGTTCCACGGGGTAAAAAAGGCGGAGGGCAGGTGCCCCCCCCCCCCCCCTCCGGACTTGTTGAGCCAGACAAATCAAGTCTGTGGGTGGATTTGTTTTCTTTAGACTCAGTTATTTTGATTATAGTGATTTGCAATTGTTTGCCATTTTCATCTTCGAGGTCTATTTTTCGGAGACATATCTCATGACAAGTGCTGAAAATAGCATTTTGGAGCCTCCTAATTTGAAAATTTTCTGGAGAAGGATAACCTCAGACCCCTCTCTACAAGGCTCGTGCCTTCGGCACTCGCGATAATACCCCCCGTTACAAAAAACTTAGCTACAGCCCTGGGTAATGCTAAAAAAAATCTTGTGTCACTTGAAATACCATTCAAACCCAGGGAAAGAAAAGGAGACCTAATTTACAAACTTTCGTCTTTCATACAACAGTGCAAGTGCTTTTCTCCATCAGCTCAGTAGTAAACATAGACAACATAGGGATCCTTAATTTAGTGTGATTAACAGCCGGCAAAAACTTTTGGAATTTAACAGGAGACGGATCGTAAACAAAAAACTATGCCTTTTTCTGCATGCAATTCCTAGTTTTTACTGAAATGTTATTGCTGCGGAGCGACCGTAGGGAGCGAGCAGCAACGTAATCAGGATTTTAGGGAAATATATGAGGGGCGACGAATTCTCGAATTCATCACTTTTTTCCACAATGCATTGCATTTAACCACACTTTTTACCACAATGCATTGGATTTAACCAGAGTGCATTGCGCCACGAACAAGTCAAATAAAAACACTGGGAGGTTCGCATCGTTCGCTGCCCAGACTCAGGGTTTTCTTTGTAGCAAATTTTCTACAGCACAGTTAGAGGTCTTACCAAATTTAAGACACGCAGGAGTCTTTCAGATGAGTACGATGGTTAACTTGGGGATTGGACAGCTGTAGTTTTTCCGCTTCTGCTTGCGACTCCGACGACGGAGTCGTAAGTGGAGGCAGAAGAATCAGGACGCTATTTTCACTAGATCGTAAAGTTCTATGCTTCTGATTACGACTCCGACGCCGATTCTGTCGCTAGTGAAAACTAGGCTTAAGTATTCAAGGAATCAAGTTTTTTGCCTTTCTATGTTGAATTCTTCT